CCCCCCTCTCAGTGTTGCATGTACAGACAAAAGGTGTACCTGTGCCCCCCCTCTCAGTGTTGCATGTACAGACAAAGGGTGTAAGTGTGTTAATGTGTATGGCCCCTATTTGGCAGAACAGAGGAGTCGAACAGGGGCCTGTAAAATTTGAAGGGTCCCCTCGTGACAAACCGATGAGTCATTTGGCACGACTGACTGTGTCATTGATCAAAGAAAATACTTAAATTAGCCTCAACCCTAAAATACATTATGCATTTTGTCCAAACTACACAATGTATACACGTTGGGTCATGTCAACTGCTGTACCTGAGGGGAAACGGCTTTTGTCACGTACACAAACATGGTAGCATCCCGAACTTCAAAGCAATGAATTTAAGGCACCTCCTTATCCCATTGTTGAGATATTTAATCAGAAGTTCCTAAAATAGAGGGTTTTGAACACTGATGTTGTAAAAAAATACTTTCTGTCACAGAAACAAAACACAGAGCATGTGTATGTGGAATACCCTGTCCGGTATACACCGAAAAAGACAGGCCTGGAACAGGAGGCGATGTTTGAAGCTGGTGCATCAGTCTCTGCTTCAGCCCCAGCTCCTCACATCTTCCAAAACCATACCGTAATACCAGAACCTAGCCAGGAAGATTACCAAGATTTTATTGATTTGATCGACCATATTGACGATGATGATGAGGAAGAAGAGGTGGATGGTGAAGAAACTAATTCAAAAACAGATCTGTCTGGAGCCTTTGCTGGTCCTCAAAGCCCGGAAATTCCAACTAAACCAAAAAGTATGACAGCTCTATATATCTACACAGATAATAGTGATAGAATGATTGTTGTTCCTAACCTCTGTATATTATAAGATTGATATTGGTTTTCTAATAAACAAGCTTAGAATTCAGGTATTCCACATTATAATCCTATCCTAAAATACGAATGAAAATAAATGTATGAAATATTCAGATTTTATAATTGACAAAGATTACGTGTAATCTGCATGTCAGGGGCTAGCAAAATATTATACATCATTTTGCTTGCAAATGTTATTAAATTTTTCATTGTCTCATTTTTAAAATCATTTTTTTGCAAATACCGGTATGTCTGAAGAAGTGATTTTGTAAAATATAGTATACATAAAATATGTGTATAAGTAATTTACCCCAATATGAATCTCTGAATTTTTGCATTTCTCCTTTAATCTACTCATTGGCAGGAACTTGAATTTCAATTTTTGCAATTCTCCTTTACTTCTTTGCAAGAATTTAAATTTTTGCTAGATTATCATGATATTTTCTTGATGTCATAATTTGATGTTGTTCTTTGTTTTTCAGAATATGCTCGAAGTCCCCTGCAGGGAGCTGAGGGTGGCAGCTCCGTGACTGCTGATAAAGACAGTGACAATGATGTAGACACATCTGAGGATGATTTCGTCACCAAGGACTTCTGGTTGTCCAATAAACTTCCATCTGTGCCTCAAAGATCAGATTCACAAAAATTTCGTACCTCTGGGAGACCGTTTTCAGAATTTGACATGGATCGGGTAAATGCCATGTCAAGGTCTGTACCCCCCTTACCAGCAAGAGGTACATCACTTATAGAAAAAGGACCGACATTTATAAGACCTATAAATTGCAATTCTGATCCAAAACCGCCTCCAAGAAGAAAATGTAGTATAAATTTACTAGAAGGAGGACTAAAGAAAACTTCATCAAAGTCTGTCAGTGAAGACAATGTGTCTGTGCGATCTCCTCTGGTAACATCTAACGCTGATGACATCGAGGATTTGGATGACGGGTATGATAACGTTGTTGAACTTAGAAAGTCTAATTCAGACAGTGCAGCAACAGACCCATGGGTACGAAGTCTGGAAAATAATGATGTGAATAGTAGGAAATCGACTTTGAAAGCCTACGATGACGCCCAGCTGTTTGTTCGTTTGCCAGATGCGAGGGTTGAGAAAAGTGATGATTATTACAATTTTAATACACCTACTCCTGAAGACAGTTTTAACTTTAATTGGACACAAAAGTCTGTTAAACATTCTTCTTCTAGTGATGAGGAGGGTGTACATGCTACAGGAAACAAGCTGGAATTAGATTCTGCTGCAGCTGCGGTTAAGCAAATGACTTTGGGTGGGAAAGATGAAAATTATAATTTATGCGATACAAAAGTTCATGGGCAAAATGTGGTCCCTGATAAAGAAATTGCTTCAAATATTTATGACTTTGGAAAAAGTTTCTTGGTCAAAGAACCTATTAATGTAAGAGCCGAAAACATCTATGACTTTGCCCGATCTGAGGGCACTCTTGTCCACACTCAAATTCCCCCCTCCTCACAGCTAAGTCTTCCGCAGGGGTCTAATATGGTTATCCATCCAGCAACCTTTGCCACAAGTGGTCCGAGTGATTTCGGTGAACTTGATTCCTTGTATTCCATTCCTAAGTCTGCCAAGCCTGTGGCTGGCCTCTCAACCGAGGAGGTACTACGTCCTGGTCGACCGCCCTGGCGAGTAACTCCGGAACCTGCGCCAACTTTGTATTCAGTTCCACAGAAACGAACTTCAAAGTCTCACAGTAATTCATCTATGGCTGATGTTGAACCTCCGAAAGCCTTGTATTCTGTACCTCAGAAAAAAGCTTCAAAATCTCACAGTAGTTCTTCAATGGAAGAATCTTGTGAAAATTCCAAATCTTCTACAACACCAAAGACCAAATCTATGGATTCCTTTCTGGCACCCAAACCTCCATCCTTAGATACTTTACCGAACAAAAAACCTCCTTCACTAGAAAAGTTGTGCTGTCCAGCAGCGCCTTCTTTGGATTCTCTTCCTTCTCAGACACAGACATCTGTCACCTCACCTGTTCGACGTAGCCCTATTTCTATGCGACCATTGCCTTCACTACCAACAGACTTTGATTGCAGTAGTGAAAAGCAAAACTTGCTTTCATCAACAAAATCTGAAAGAGCAACATCCCCATCACACGATGGATTCACCTTTAATTTTCTGCCAGATGCGGAAACGAACTCAAAAAGCAGCACTACTTCTTCGTCAGGTTCAGGTGCATCTAAAGAGGAGGACACTGAGCCAGTGTACGAGGATGCAACTGGAAGGAATTCCAACCCTCCACTGCCACCAAAGAGAAGTATACGAAGGAATACAAATCGATCTGTCAGTGTGTACATCCCAGGCAAAACTGGTGGTACCCTAACCACAAGGCTAGACCCTGCACCATCCAGGGCAGAATCTCTCGATGACCAAGCCATTTCACGTCCTCAAGGTATTGGTTATTATTTTATATTTATTATTATTATTTTTTTATATGAACATGAAGACTTGGGACTGTTGATCTTCAAAATAAAATGCATGTTAAAAAGCTTTCAACTGAGATTTTTGGAATATTAAAAAATTCAAAATGCTTTTGAAAAGACCACGAAGGGCCATGAGAGTTTATGCCATGGTGTATCTTCTATCTGTTGTCTATCCGTCTGTCCAGCAGGAATTTTTTGCTTTAAACAACTTCTTCTGAATAACCTTACAAAGAAAAATGCATTGTGTTATGACTCATGGACCTAATAGAATTGTAGGTCACCTGACCTTAGGTCATGGTGACCTATTGCCATTCGTTTTCGTCTGTCGTCATGCGCCGTGTGTCGTGCGTTAAATTTTTTCTTGTGCACACAATAACTTCATGAGTAAAAGTGAATGGATTTTGATAAATTTTGCTATGCTGCTTTATATCAATAAGATCTCGGACAAGTATGGGCCATATCAGAGTTACTGCTGAGACATAAAAATTTGACTTCTTAAGATTATCTGCAACAATTCATTTCTTTAGTTGTACAAATAATCTTTAAGAGGTTCCGAACAAGTGTTCTTACTTTTTGTGCCGATCATAAAATCCAAGATGGTCACCCGGACCCCTCATTGACTGAGATAATTTCTGGCTAAAACCAGAGACACACCTGTGAAGGGTGGGAGAATGTAACCTTCTAATGGCCACCCTAGCCTGGCTAGGGCATTTACAACTTCATCTGTACATAATCCAGTAAACCTACCATCTAATTCAACTATTCAGCAAGTGCATGCCTGGTTTCCAGGTTAGTTTGGGTGTATGGCCTCTCTCCAAAGTAACTTTGTGCCAATTGAAAAAAAATGCTACAATTTGAGTACTTCAGAACTTACTCAGGTGACTGTTTAGGCCCATGGGCCTCTTGTTTAAGAAATGCCTTAATCACTGTTGGTACATGTATATTTCAGTTGGAAGACAAGTCTCCCTCACAGAGAGGCAGCAGATCCGACAGTCTGCAGCGTCCATTGTGGTGATTCCTTTGAAGCAGAGCCAAGTAGATTTATTAAATGAGGAGCAAAAAGAACATGGAGTTGGACTTGACGTAAGTCCAAAGTCAGCCAATGCAGTTGCTCTCGTTGAAATGTACAATGGAGTCTGGTAAGTATTATCACAGAAGCAGTAAGTTATTGTATTTTTAGTATTACATCCTGTTTAATTTAACCCTTAGAGTGCTACATTAAAATAACATACAGTAACCAATCAGTGCTGAATTAATTAGGAAAATTTAATTTTCACTGTAGTTCAAATTTAGATATAACTTCATAAGTCACAATTTTAGTAAAAATATTGCAAAAATAATACTTGTGTTAATATTAAAATATCAAAACATATTAATACCAATGGAAATTGGTTATTTGATATGTTTGATTAAATTTTAATCAACATGATTAGCTGTTGACCATATAAAATACCATTTTATAGAATGAGCAACTATAGTTGTGACTAGCAGTGGTGGCCACAGACATACAGCGCAACTATAGTTGTGATTAGTAGTGGTGGCCACAGATTTACAGCGCAACTTAGTTGTGATTAGCAGTGGTGGCCACAGACATACAGCGCTACTATAGTTGTGACTAGCAGTGGTGGCCACAGACATACATCGCAACTATGGTTGTGACTAGCAGTGGTGGCCACAGACATACAGCACAACTATAGTTGTGATTAGTAGTGGTGGCCACAGATTTACAGCGCAACTATAGTTGTGACTAGCAGTGGTCGCCACAGATTTACAGCGCAACTATAGTTGTGACTAGCAGTGGTGGCCACAGACATACAGCGCTACTATAGTTGTGACTAGCAGTGGTGGCCACAGACATACAGCACAACTATAGTTGTGATTAGTAGTGGTGGCCCCAGATTTACAGCGCAACTTAGTTGTGATTAGCAGTGGTGGCCCCAGACATACAGCGCAACTATAGTTGTGATTAGTAGTGGTGGGCACAGATTTACAGCGCAACTTAGTTGTGATTAGCAGTGGTGGCCACAAACATACAGCGCAACTATAGTTGTGATTAGCAGTCCTGGCCACAGAAATACAGCGCAACTATAGTTGTGATTAACAGTGGTGGCCACAGACATACATCGCAACCATAGTTGTGACTAGCAGTGGTGGCCACAGAAATACAGCGCAACTATAGTTGTGATTAGCAGTCCTGGCCACAGAAATACAGCGCAACTATAGTTGTGACTAGCAGTGGTCGCCACAGATTTACAGCGCAACTATAGTTGTGACTAGCAGTGGTCGCCACAGATTTACAGCGCAACTATAGTTGTGACTAGCAGTCCTGGCCACAGACATACAGCGCAACTATAGTTGTGATTAACAGTGGTGGCAACAGACATACATCGCAACTATAGTTGTGACTAGCAGTGGTGGCCACAGACATACAGCGCAACTATAGTTGTGACTAGCAGTGGTGGCCACAGACATACAGCGCAACTATAGTTGTGACTAGCAGTGGTGGCCACAGACATACAGCGCAACTATAGTTGTGACTAGCAGTGGTGGCCACAGACATACAGCGCAACTATAGTTGTGACTAGCAGTGGTGGCCACAGACATACAGCGCAACTATAGTTGTGACTAGCAGTGGTGGCCACAGACATACAGCGCAACTATAGTTGTGACTAGCAGTGGTGGCCACAGACATACAGCGCAACTATAGTTGTGACTAGCAGTGGTGGCCACAGACATACAGCGCAACTATAGTTGTGACTAGCAGTGGTGGCCACAGACATACAGCGCAACTATAGTTGTGACTAGCAGTGGTGGCCACAGACATACAGCGCAACTATAGTTGTGACTAGCAGTGGTGGCCACAGACATACAGCGCAACTATAGTTGTGACTAGCAGTGGTGGCCACAGACATACAGCGCAACTATAGTTGTGACTAGCAGTGGTGGCCACAGACATACAGCGCAACTATAGTTGTGACTAGCAGTGGTGGCCACAGACATACAGCGCAACTATAGTTGTGACTAGCAGTGGTGGCCACAGACATACAGCGCAACTATAGTTGTGACTAGCAGTGGTGGCCACAGACATACAGCGCAACTATAGTTGTGACTAGCAGTGGTGGCCACAGACATACAGCGCAACTATAGTTGTGACTAGCAGTGGTGGCCACAGACATACAGCGCAACTATAGTTGTGACTAGCAGTGGTGGCCACAGACATACAGCGCAACTATAGTTGTGACTAGCAGTGGTGGCCACAGACATACAGCGCAACTATAGTTGTGACTAGCAGTGGTGGCCACAGACATACAGCGCAACTATAGTTGTGACTAGCACTTAAAGGGTTAAGGAATTTCACCAACTGTATAACACGAAAAAATGCATCAGTGATTTGCATCTACTTTAACGTTATCAATCAACATGATGAAAAATGTTGGCAGTGTCTTGTTTTATCACATACCTATGTAATCTTACAATAGTAATACAACAATTTTCTGTTGATGTTTTCTGTCAGTTTGTATCACACATGTGTGATACAAGATGTTGTATCACCATACTAGCTGGAACTACCCTTTATGGGAATCCCCTTGTCATGGCGAACTGAAAAGTTCCCGGTATTTGAAAAAAATATCAAAGTTTATGAAATCTTTGTATCGATCTCAACCAAATACGGAAGGAATGTGATAAAAGCAAGACCACACACTTGTGTTTTTCTTATGAATCAGAAAGCACTCATTTATTGGGCGGACGTAAATATTCACTCGTGCATATGTGGTATTGCATATTTATTTCATTAAATGAATCTTCTGCAATTTTGGCATTGAATAGGATTGCTGGCTGGGATGGACGGCGTTGTCCTCGTCTGGCTGAAAAGATCCACATAGGGGACCAGTTATTATCAGTAGAGGATGTTCGGGTGACCAGCTCCTCCCACGCCTCCAAACTATTGAAACAGACACAGTCCAAACGGGTCACGTTGGTGGTAAAACGTCTCCCCTATGCCACCATTCTAGCAATCCGCAGAAACCATGATGGTGAGAATCTTGGTATCACCCGTGAAGGGGGGACAGCTGAGGTAAGATGTCGCTGTATAAAACCTATATATAATTTAAGTGGCTTTGTGTTGATGTATTGCTTATTCATATGACATCAATTGTTCAATTATTTCCTTAATTTGATTTACAGATTTTCTAATAATTTGTTCATTTGCAAAAATATTTTTTTTTAACTTTTTTCAAATACAATTGTCTATGGAAAGACATATTATTGTCATCATTGTTATCAATTCTGTAATTGGACCCTCGGGTATGTTGAATTGAAATATTAGATAAATAAATAAATTATCTTAACTCATTCACCCCTGAAATTTCATAATGAACTATTCCAACCTTTAAGTTGGAAGAGTTCAAATGTGTTTTCTGGGGTGAATGAGTTAAAAGGGATAAATTCCATCGAGCGTTATTGGAACTTTAATATTTATTAGCCTTATTTTGAGATATTAAGCAGAACTCTGAACTTATTAGGTAACATTTTAGATATCAATATTTTACTTATTATTAAAACACAGAATTATTTGATAGGAATGTTATTGGATTCCAAAATATTCTACTAAAGATTATGAACACAAAAATACTCGTAAACAGGATACTATTAAACGTATATGGTATGGTCTGTATGATAACACAGGATCCTGGTATGTACTATGTATAAGGTATTGTCTGTATGATACCACAGGATCCTGGTATGTTGTTATATATATGGTATATATTGTAATATAACCATCAATGGAATATCCGGAATTGGTCGGTTTGTGTATTATGGTATTCCGTCTCCGTATCTTATTTCCGGGATTGAATGAAAAGTTGAAGAGTGAAGCTGTTTTGATTCATCTCTTAATAATCCTCTGACATCGCAAACCCAGTACAGTGTACTATGTATAAGGTATGGTCTGTATGATAACACAGGATACTGGTATATATAAGGTATGGCCTGTATGATAACACAGGATACTGGTATTTATAAGGTATGGCCTGTATGATAACACAGGATACTGGTATGTTCTATGTATAAGGTATGGTCTGTATGATAACACAGGATACTGGTTTGTTCTGTGTATAAGGTATGGTCTGTAGGATAACACAGGATACTGGTATGTACTATGTATAAGGTATGGTCTGTATGATAACACAGGATCCTGGTATGTACTATGCATAAGGTATTGTCTTTATGATACCACAGGATACTGGTATGTATAATGTATTGTTTGTATAATAACACAGGATACTGGTATGTACTAGGTCTGTATGATAACACAGGATACTAGTATGTATAAGGTATGGTATGTATGATAACACAGGATACTGGAATGTATAGGGCATTGTCTGTATGATAAAACAGGCTACTGGTATGTATAAGGTATTGGCTGTATGATAACACAGGATACTAGTATGTATAAGGTATGTTCTGTATGATAACACAGGATATTGGTATGTATAAGGTATGGTCTGTGTGATAACACAGGATACTGGTTTGTTCTGTGTATAAGGTATGGGCTGTAGGATAACACAGGATACTGGTACGTACTATGTATAAGGTATGGTCTGTGTGATAACACAGGATACTGGTATGTTGTATGTATAAGGTATGGTCTGTGTGATAACACAGGATACTGGTTTGTATAAGGTATGGTCTGTATTATAACACAGGATACTGGTATGTATAATGTATTGTTTGTATAATAACACAGGATACTGGTATGTTTTACAGGATACTGGTATGTATAATGTATTGTTTGTATAATAACACAGGATACTGGTATGTGTAAGGTATTGTCTTTATGATAACACTGGATACTGGTATGTATAAGGTATTGGCTGTATGATAACACAGGATACAAGTATGTATAAGGTATGGTCTGGATGATAACACAGGATACTGGTCCCCCTAAGGTATGGCCTGTATGATAACACAGGATACTAGTATGTATAAGGTGTGGTCTGTATGATAACACAGGATTCTGGTATGTATAAGGTATGGTCTGGATGATAACACAGGATACTGGTCCCCCTAAGGTATGGCCTGTATGATAACACAGGATACTGTTATGTACTATGTATAAGGTATGGTCCGTATGATAACACAGGATACTGTTATGTACTATGTATAAGGTATTGTCTTTACGATAACACAGGATACTGGTATGTGTAAGGGATTGTCTTTAAGATAACACAGGAGACTGGTATGTACTATATATAAGGTATGGTCTGTATGACAACGCAGGATACTGGTATGTACTATATATAAGGGATTGTCTTTATGATAACACAGGATACTGGAATGTATAGGGCATTGTCTGTATGATAAAACAGGCTACTGGTATGTATAAGGTATTGTCTGTATGATTACACAGGATACTGGTATGTATATGGTATGGTCTGTATGATAACACATGATACTGGTATGTATAAGGTATTGTCTTTACGATAACACAGGATAGTGGTATGTATAAGGTATGGTCTGTGTGATAACACAGGATACTGGTTTGTTCTGTGTATAAGGTATGGTCTGTATTATAACACAGGATACTGGTATGTTGTATGTATAAGGTATGGTCTGGATGATAACACAGGATACTGGTTTGTATAAGGTATTGTCTGTATGATTACACAGGATACTGGTATGTACTATATATAAGGTATTGCCTTTATGATAACACAGGATACTGGTTTGTTCTGTGTATAAGGTATGGTCTGTAGGATATCACAGGATACTGGTATGTACTAGGTCTGTATGATAACACAGGATTCTTGTTTGTACTATGTATAAGGTATGTTCTGTATGATAACACAGGATAGTGGTTTGTACTATGTATAAGGTATGGTCTGTGTGATAACACAGGATACTGGTTTGTTCTGTGTATAAGGTATGGTCTGTAGGATATCACAGGATACTGGTATGTACTATATATAAGGTATTGCCTTTATGATAACACAGGATCCTGGTATGTATAAGGTATGGGCGGTATGATGATACAGGATCCTGGTATGTACTATGCATAATATCTTGTCTGTATGATAATATTCAATTATAGCCTGTGGCTGAGGTTGATACTTGGATTTATCGACCCGAGAAAAGATATATTGACCGAGAACCCTTAATATTTTCGAAACAGTTATGTAAGCAATCTGATAAAAATACACAACAAAAACACTTCGGAAGCAGGACGGTGAGTTGTTAGGAGACATCATTTCTATTTATAGAAACACCCAGTCCTTCAACAAAAATCATGCGCTCCAAGTCTATATCGGTTTTCATCTGTGGACAAGTGATGCACTCCTGGCCAATCACTTGTTGGGAATAATATGAAAAAATAATAACACAGGATACTGGTATGTTTTATGTATAAGATATTGACTATGAAACAATTATATTGTCAGATCACATATGTGGACCCAAATGGATTGGTGGCCAGGTGTGGCCTTCAAAAGCGAGCCAAATCGGTGGAAGGAACAGGGGAATGTAACTGGATGCTGACTGAAATCAACTGCCGATCACTCAACTTCTCATACAAAGGAGAGGAGGTATGTATAAATATGTAGGGAAAGTTTGCATTCCCTTAAAATAAGTATATACTAAAAAAAAAATGTAGACTACGTAAAACAGTACCCGGGATTTGGAATTTATAAAAGTAACACTTCGTTAATTTCAAATTTGTCAGAAAAATTATCAGGAATTTAAACATCAATGTTAATTGACCTGTTTTCTAAAGACAGCAGACTCTTAACACAATAAGTTGTTTTGTAGCAATAATGATTAAACCAATTATTTATGCAGTAATACCAAAAATGTCTAAGACCTGTGTTTTACTGGTTCTATTATTGCTTTGCCAGATTGAGCGTTTGCTGAATGCAGTGGGCCGAGACATTTCTATCGTGATACAGCCCGCGGATTTTGTTAGACAAATAAAGAAACAACTAAAAAAACTCAAGAACTACAAAGATTATTTATGCTGATTCTTTAAACTTTTTCTCGAGCCATACGTTGCAGAAAACCCTGTGGGGACTAACATGAGGAAACATCTGAACAGTTTAAAATATCACAAAGGTCGTTTAGACTGTTTTCAAACTGACTCCGAGATCGACTTTCCCATAAGTCATCAGATAGCATCTGAAGAATTTAAACAGTTTTTGTGTTTTGCACTTCATCTTAAAAAATGTTTGTAGACCGACTCTCATGAAAGACTGAACTACAAGGAGTGTTCTCAGAAAAAGTTGTCTTAATTTTACTTGCACGGGAAACTTTATGTTAAGTGTTAGATGTCGCTGCTGTAGGGAGGGAGAGAATGATTGTATGTGCATGGTGTGTGCGAGGGCATAAATCTTAGAAACTAATTGCACACAAGTAGCCTGCCAGTCTGATATATAAAAATAGATTTTGTTACATTTAAAATGTTAGATTTATGAGAAGATTTTAATATATATGTGTTTGAGTGACAAAGTATTAACGTCTATATGCTGACTGGTAAATGTTATTATCAAAGCCCATCTTTTAAATTGTTATCAACATAAGGGGTCATTTACAAAAGCTGTTAACATAATCCATATTATCATTTTGAATGAAGTGAATGAAATGATACAAAAAGACTATCTAGTACATTTACATTGAAATTCAAATTGAATTATATAAAGAGATTCAGGATGACTGCCTGATTACAAAAAACTCAAAAATGTCTGGATATTTTTCAAAAAATCAAATATTGAAATGTTATTTGACTAAATCCTCAAGCTAGATAGGTTTAAATGACTGGACCCTGATTGTATGTGGTGGGTTTCTTTTATACAAAGTTTTTTTGTGAATGAAAACGCTGTAGAAGCATCAGCTATGTAAAGTGTTATTTCATTACAAGTTATCCCATTACACCATTGGGTAACTTTCATAATTTCGCATGAAATTAAAATTGGAACTATTTTTTTTATTGAAAAGCACATTTCTCCGGTAAAATACTGTCTCAAATCACTTCCTTTGAAGAGAAATAGAATTTAAAACTTTTTACATCTATTTAAAGATGGTGTCAACAGTTCATGATATAATAAACAGATTCTTACACGATTGTTTCATTCTAATATAGTGTTTAATGTGAATAATAAACAGAATGTTATATTCTTGTACATCAGATAATGTGTCTAAGGTCTATGATGTCACATGCTAAACAGAATCTTATACTCTTCTGTCTTTAATTTGAAGCACATTTTGTTAGATAACTTCTTATGCCACTTGCACTTGCCAAAAGGCTTGTGAATATTCAGATTTGTTTTAAACATATTTTATAAACACTAGCGTAAAAATCTAAATCTATATAATGTAACTTTGACATGATAACTGACAATTTAAAGATGCTTTAAGGTGATGTGTGATTTAAGGAGTGCTTATTACAAAGCTTTAATTATAGTTCAGTTTATAAGTCAAGTTCAAGTTCTTTATTACTTTAAGTCGGTTGACTTATCAGTTATGGCATATGTACAGAACAATATGATGCAGCAATATATTTCAATGAATTTTGGGTATGGACATATTTTTTTTCTTCTCAAATTTAAGTGATAAAGTAGAAAAGCGAATATTTAAAGATAGATTGTCACTTTAAATTCTTCCATCCTCTCCATGAAAAAAAAGTTGTACCCCCTTCATAGCAAAACTTCAAGTAAATGGAATGAAAAGTGGTCGCATAAGACAGATGGTCGTTTAATACAGAAAGTCGTTTGAGCAGATTCGACTGTAATACATTTGCGTTTTAAAGTGCCTTGTGCATTTGAAAATTGAAATTTTAGGGGTTGAGGTACTTAGGTACTAAGGTTATTGGAAACTGAATGTTTTTTCTGTAAATTCTTACCTCAAGTTGGCAGGTTTGCCTGACCATTATAAAACTAAACATTCCAATGCAACAAGATTTTTGCTTTTTAATTATTTGTTTTGCTTCTTTTATTTTTGCTTTTTTTCTCATCTTTTTTTTTTTAATAACTGAGCCATCATCACTGAAGTAGTGGGTTTCACACTACACTACAGTATAAAAATATTTTGTTCACAATTGCATGGACATATTTGTTAAAAATTAACAAGCCTCCTGGATCAGTGAGCATTGCAGCGATTATACAATTTGTTTTAATTCAAACTAGAGAAGTTCATTATGAGAAATCAGAGATATGACTTATTGTCAACAATCTTGCTCATATGTCAGTTTGTATTTTAGTCTTAGAGAATATTGTACATTAAGTCAAGAAAAAAATGCACATTAACAATAAACAGATTTTTTACATTTTTTTTTAAAGCTTATTACCAAAAATTCTGTCAACTTATATATAATATATTACACATCACTAAGTATCTATATTTGGATTTTTATGGTACTGTGTACATGAACTTTGAAAAATGTCTGAAAGCTGACTTGTAGAAGATAGATGTTAATAAGAAGCTTCTGTATATATATGTTTATATAACGCTGACTAGGACTTGGAATAAGTCTCATTAATTATTATACCATTATGTCCCTGTTTCTGGTTTAACCGTTTTATATTATATTATTATATTTTATGTACTTATTCTTGCGATAACATGGTTCCCAGGAATCCTACAAAGTACTTATACATGTAGCTTATGATATCTAGTAATCATGCTTTTCATTGAAGTTTTGCTGATCTGCTGTAAATGTACATATTTTAGTGCACTCAAATTTTAGCGCATTATCAAATTTTAACAGATAAGTGCATTGATGGAACGGCACACCCACAAAATATGTAATAGAGAACAACATACATGAACTTCAATTGGCGCATTGATAATTTATCATAATATTTAACCTTTCACCACTGTAGACCATAATGGACTCATCCAGATCAATGTATGGTAGAGTCTACTAAAGTAACCTAGGGGTGAAAGGGTTAAAGCTCGAAAAAACGCTACAATATGTACATTTACAATATTCTTTCCTTCATAGGGCAAAATAATATATACATTTATATATATAGAAATATTATTTTTCAAATAATCTTAGTGTTACCCAGGTATATACAAACATTCCCCATTCACCCATACTAGTCAAGCATTCCTTTTCACTCTGGGGTCACAAAAATGCATACTTACTGTTACTAAACAACTAAGATAGTTTTAAAGGTCATGTTTGTTTCAAAATCCAAATGTAAATTGTAGTCTTTGTTTACCACATTCATTTTCAAATTTGTATTGCTGAGGTAAATATTTGTAGAATGTATAAGAAAATAAGGGATGCAACTTCCATTTCGACAATCAAGCATGAATGATCAATTAAAAAGAATGCTGTGACTTGCTGTTAGGAGAGTGTACATGTATCTCAGAGTTTGTATTCGGCTTCAATTTAAAAAGCAGAATGATTGGCATGAAGGTTGGTTGAAATCTGTCTCATAAATATTCATTTGACGTTGCTTCAAGTGTTGGAAAATCAGCGATTTCTAGTTATTGGATGTATTTTTAAAGTATGATAAACAGCTTTCGGTGAAGCACGTTAATTAGATAACACCTGATATGTATAGATTTTTCAGTAACCAAATATTCTTGATGAAGTTGAAATAATTCAATTTTTGCTGTAACACATTTGGAATGTTTAACTGGTGGAACAGCAGAAAATACATGTGTGTTGATAGTTAAAAAAACAATAAGAAGTAATTTTTTTAATATTTCATAACAAAAACTATTTATTATCAATAACTTGCTAAACTATAATTAGGTTATGTATAAATATCTATAGAGAACACCTATTTTATTTTTTACCATAATTCCCATTCTTGTATCGCTATGCTTTGGCATTCATAATCCTGTGATTGCCAGATGAATTTGACAGGGTTATAGATGGCGATGCCAATCTTATGTAAATATAAAACTATTATATATATGTGTGCAACTTTTTATTAATAATTTTTTGCTTTACTTGAGTATGAAGGAGGATTGAATATTGAGTATTGAATATGATTTTTTCTGCTTAAATTCCATTTTGAATTTGATCCATGAAGTAAGATATAGCCTTATAGCTTGCAATATTATATAGCTTAATGGGAGAAAACAATTTGTCTTTCAGTACAGACTTTTATGGAAGTAAAATACATGTATAAGTAATTGCCATGCAACTTTATTCAGCAATTTAGACAATTAATTTGTTACTATAGTCAGTAAGTCTACAGTAGATCTTGACAGGTTTGTATCCCAATTTTATCAAATGTTGTATAAAGAGATTTCAGAGGTATCCATTGTGTTAATTGCTCATGAAAAGAAACCAAAAAGTGATCAAATTTTAGCTGCAGTATTGGTTAAGAAATAATCCAGTAAGGGGACCAAAGAAATCCAAGCTACAATATTTTCCATTTTGTTGATGCAGGAAAAACACAGTGTTTATCAAGTCTTTCCTAGGAATGAAAAATATATATAAGAAGATTTAGAGACTCCCTTCCCTGTAGATTGATATCAGACATGATTTAGAGACTCCCTTCCCTGTAGATTGATATCAGACATGATTTAGAGACTCCCTGTACAAAATTTAGAGACACAGAATACACATGTATATATGTGGCTGTACATGATTGTAGTGTTAAATTTTTCGCACTGAAATATAAAAGATAATTTGAAATATTTTTCCCCATAAATTAAAGGACAATTTCAAAATTTCTTAAAATGTATCTTGAATTTGAATTTTCTGAGTTTTTCGAGTTCGGATGATGAGTGTTTCACTGGATCAGAAAGAAGGAAGATTTGTAAAGGTTTATGTAAATATCTTCAACGTTTTGAGTGGTTATTTATCATAAATATGTGAGTCTTTATTTTATAAAATGAAAATGACCTAATTAGTGATCAATGCTTATGAATGGAAATTGAAGAAATTTAGGACGTTTTTTGTACATGCATATTAACACCAAAATAATGTAACATTGTAAATTATGAGAAAAAAAGCCCGAAAAGCAATGCTAGTAATTTATTTTGATATTTTTTCAGACATAAAGGAAACCTATGATTGCAACTAAGTTGCTATATAAAAATGTGCTGTAGGATACGCTAAAAATTTGCTTTTTTAGCTTTATGAAAATTCAAAATACGGTTTCGGACATCCTAAATTGTCTTATATATGTCTTATGGTACTAACATTGTTTTGAAGAAGATGTATGATAAAGTTGGAGGCTCTGGCAAAGGGCCTTTAATTGATATTGGCTCCTATCCCTTAAGTAAATTCTGACAAGAGCACGGCTACTTGCTATACAGGAGACATTGATAGTGCTATTTGCAAGTATTAGCCTTGCTTTAGTCGAAGAATTCTTTTAGGGAAAGTGATAATTGATTAAAGCTCTTGTGAGCTCTTAACGACTGATTTTGGAAAACAACACCTGTAATTAGCAATGATGATGTAGTTAACGTTACATTCCTTTGTGAAGCGCGCAGTACAGGGAGTCATTTACAATTGTTAAATCGTAAGCTGTTCCTAAAGTCGGAGATAGAAATATTTAAAATTTTAATAATTGTTTTACCTGCTTAAATGAACCCATGCCAGGGAGAGCTTTATTGTCTCAATCGTCTTTAGATATAAGGATGTCTCTCAGTTTTTGGAGAAAATTTTCTACATTTCTACAAACGTGTTTCCCCATGAATATTAAATTGTGATGTGATTTTATCAAATATTCGAAAGATAATGAATAGTTATAGGTCAAATAACGTCCTAAAGCGTAGAGAGATCTGAAGATTTAAGTATAATTGAGAAATACTTGTTTGTTGTTATTTGTAAATAAGATTATACTGGAAGCGTTAGTAGTGCATCATCCCATGTCGTGCCAATTTTTGTACAAATACGCTTAGATCTATGTAGTATTTTTATCTAGACCCTCAATAAAGGTACAAACTAACAAATTATGTTTCTGCTGAGAAAGACTGAAAATATTTTTTTAAACTTTCTGACAGTATAAACATGCTTGTTGTAGCAGAAATATATTTGGTGGTCGATATGATTTGTATTGGTTTAGTGGTAACATATTTGTTGGTAATATTATTTGGGTGGTAAAAGAGAGTTTTGTAGCTGTAGTTGAAGACAATGAATTATCTTACTATGATAAGAAGAGAAAAAATTGACGTCGAGTGTTATTCCTTTCCCAGGTTGATAAAACTAGACACTGATATAATGCATTTACATGATTTTGACGTTAAAGTTTAGATTCAATCGACTGCTGTCCTATTTTTATCCCGACACCTGATTGGTCCATTTGTTGTCATATAGAAGGCAATAAAATGCAATACTGTGGATCACATTAAAAGAGAGCAGTTCCATACTCCCGATGTAATGTAGGCTTGTGTTCACCACAGTGTATGTTTGCTGTTAATGTCTGGGTTTATTAATGCTGCTAAAAGGCGATCGCCATTTATTTGGACTGCAGCATTTTGGCGCTAAAAACGTCATTGCTATTTTGTCTTTTTATAATTTATGTGTGCTAATCTGAACTGTTGTTACTATTAATTAAGTCAATGGTAGCTTGTGAGTGTAATAAATACCATTGCTATTATGGTGTGAAGTACAGCATGTACATACTAAATATCATTGCTAATATGTCAGCTATCTAGCGTGTGGACGCTGCAAACATAATGCTGTTATGTCCAGTCTAACAGAAGGCGCTAAGATACTTAATCTTCTAATATGAATATGTAGTATTTGAAATTATTGGAAAGAGAAAAGGAGATATTTATGGAGATATGGACATAGTATTAAGGTAACCTAAGATTTTGCCATAGTAAGGTGCTTGAAGTGTTTTTGTTCATTATATAAACAGGTTTTGTACCATACCGATTTTCATGTGTGTAAATAGACTGTATTGTGAAATGACAAAATATTATCTGTGTGTCCAAAACTGTGAAAATGATCTGTATCCCACAAACAGATAAAGTGGAAAATCAGGAGTGCTGGTAAATGCTCTGCAACCCTGACCCAAATCCCTGAATGTTGTATATATATATATTGTCCTGCAAACATCTCAAAATCCATCAATGGCTCAAATATCATGCAATCCAATGATGGACCTGCTGGGTTAATTAAATAAGCCTCAATAATTGTCAAAGGTGTCATTTAATAAATGCATTAATTCAATAGTTTATTATTAGGACATGAACATTCCCGCTGCAAGATCATGTTTTTACTGGTAGTCACAGATCAAAGTCTGTGAAATTCAGAATGAAAACAGAGTCTGCATTAATTATACTCAAATTTTACTCCCAACATATGAAAAAAAAAAATCTAATATCATGACTCTCCAGGGCCCCATCTAAAAAAAACCAGATTAGGCTAAAGATTAATCACTTATACAAAGTATTGCTGAAGTACAGTGTTACATGACAGAGTTATCTCCCTGTTATACAAAGTATTGCTGAAGTTATCTCCCTTTTATACCAAATCTGTCGGGAAGTAACAAGTAAGAAATTTTATTCACAGCTCTGATTTTGCGCTGCTGTTTTTGCCGTGTTTAAGTGGAGGCATACAGATTCATTCAATGGATATATTTTGCCATTTTAATATATTTACTGCATCTAGAACATATTTACTCGAAATATCTGTTGTCGCTGGTTTGGATCTGCAGAATCAGCGTCCTGTAAAAAAAATAATCCAGACTACTGCAAAGATAACCCTTTTTACAGTAAAATTAAACTAAGGCTCAATTAAAAGGGGAGGAAAGAGTACCAAATGCTTTAGTGTGAATATTCCTCATTATACAACAGTAAATACTTTGTACCAGTGGCAGTTGATTTGCCGATTAAAATAGGGTAGGTAACTCTGATAAGAGTGATAGAAATAACTGATAGTATCTTTTTAGATGTGTATTATTGTATGTCATAATCTTAAATATTCCAGAAGTGTTGTC